CGACTGCCAGGGCGCTGGAGCAGACGGCGGCGGCCATGACCGACTTCACGAGCGGCGACTTCGCCGAGCCGCCCGATCGTCGTCATCGGAAGCTCTCGCCCTCGTCGAACACTGGCACCACATCCGTCAGCGAGGGCGTCGGCGCCAAGCGCCAACGGACGCTGCTGGACCGGTCCAAGTCTCGCCTCCGCAAGTACCTCGAGGAGGCCATGGAGACACAGAGCGACGGGCTGACGTTGCTGGAGAAGCGGGCAGTGACAAGGCCCGTGCACACAGAGCACAGGCTGGAGGTGAACAGATTCAAGCAGTTCGTCGAGTCGAAGGGGAAGAACGCCCACAGCATCGGGGGCGACGTGCTGGACGGCCTTTTCGCCGCATACTTCGAGAGGACCTTCTTCGCCAGCGTGGAGGCCTCGAGGGGGGCCAAGACGCTGGCGGGCTGGCTGCACCTCCACCCGGGCTACAACCGCCTGGGCTCCAGGCGGCTGCCCCGGGCCTGGCGGGCCCTCCGAGGCTGGTGCAAGTTGTGCCCCGGCCGCTCGCGGAGACCCGAGGCCCTAGGCGTGTGGTTTGGGCTCGTGAACGCCCTGGTGACGGCTGGGCGTCGCCGCATGGCGCTGTTCGTGCTGATCATGCTGAGCACCTACCTGAGGCCGGGACAGCTGCTGGGCACGCACGGCTCAGGGTTGACGCCGCCTACGCCCGGGGTGACGCCCCGCTGGTCGCTGCTGGTTCACCCCGAGGAGACGGCGAGCAGAAGCAAGATAGGCGACGCCAATGTATCCATCCTCCTGGACTCGAGTTGGGCGACGTGGATCGGCCCGGCCATGGGAGAACTGAAGGAGAGCGCAGGGGAGGGACCTCTGTGGGCTTTCGACTACAGCGACCTGCTGAAGTCCTTCCGGCTCGCTGCGCAGGAGATCGGGGTGCCCAAGTTAGTGCCCTACCAAGCCCGCCATTCGGGCCCTTCCATCGATGCGGCCCGGCATCTGAGGACCCTGGCCGACATCGAGAAGAGAGGTCAGTGGCGCAGCGACAAGAGCGCCCTGCGCTACGAACGACACGCACGTCTCGCCAGCGGACACCGCCAGCACCCGATCGAGGTACAGATGTACGCCTCCGAGTGCGAGCGACGCGCCGAGGCGATCATCCTCCACGGACTGGTCGTCCCGCTGCCGCTGAAGGGCGGCCGCTCGTGAACGATATCCATTTTGCCGACGCGTTTGCCGGCGAGGGCGGCGTGGCCAGATCCATCCGCAGGTGCGGCTTCCAGGCAAGGGTCTGGGAGAAGCGCCGCGGGGGCCACGGCGACCTGACGCGGCCGCCCGTCCTGAAACGTTTGCTCTCAGACATCCGTGCAGGGATTTGCCGAGGCGCAATGCTTGCGCCTCCCTGCTCTACCTTCTCTATAATGAAAGCCCGCTCGGCCGCGATCAGAGACGTCGCGCGGCCGCGGGGCTTTTCCCGCAATGAGATGACCCCCAAGGATTGGGAGAAACTACAGACGGGCAACACATGCTTGCGTGCAGTGTTGAAGATAATCGCAGAGTGCAATCGTTCTTGCGTCCCTTGGATTTTAGAGAACCCTCATAGCAGCTACATGTTTAAAACGCCAGAGCTCCTCAGACTCGCCAATCTACAGTGTGTATCAGTCGTCATTTCAGATTTCTGTCAGTTTGGAGCTCGCTGGCGAAAGCGAACCCGTTTCCTCGCAGGACACTGCCACCCAGACGAGCTCGCCCGATTAACAAAAACATGCGACGGGCCTGCAGGAATTTGCAGCCGCACGGGCAGGCCGCACCTCATCCTCGAAGGGGCATCGCCCGAAGGTGTGAGGTGGACCACCATAGCCCAGACCTGCCCACAAGCTTTGAATAGAGCGCTCGCGAAGACCCTTGTGTCTCAGGCCAGGTCCCTCTTCTTCAATGTTTGAGCGAACATCCTGTTTTGGGGATGCCATGGGACCAGAGTGTTTGTTCAGACACCTGTAGCACCCGTCCGATCCGAGGTCGGTCGGGTTGCATCGCGATGACTTTGCTGTGTTCACGAGAATCGTGCAACAGAAAACTCTTTATTGCTTGCGCAGTTCCCCGCCCCCCCGCGCTTAAGACAGCATGGGGGTGCGTGCACATGAATGATGTAAAATAGCGGGCCCTGTCGTGGACCCCAACCCTCTCGGTGCGTGGGCGCGTGGATAATCGCGCTTCGCCCCGCGGGGGTCCTTGTTCCGTCGTGCTTGCCCTGTTTTGGGAAATTGCACTGCGGTGCCGAACAACTTCTCTGTAGTGCTCCGTTTTGGCTCCCGCCGCCAACCCAAGGCCTCTCTTTTTCTTTCCTTGCAATTTTCGAATGCTCGACTAATTTTCTGGGACCGGAGTGTTTGTTCAGACACCTGTAGCACCCGTCCGATCCGAGGTCGGTCGGGTTTCATCGCGATGACTTTGCTGTGTTCACGAGAATTGTGCAACAGAAAACTCTTTACTGCTTGCGCAGTTCCCCGCCCCCCGCGCTTAAGACAACATGAAAATTCGGAGGTCCGCGCGGATTTCTCGGATGGGCGCTGGGCGCCTCTCCCTTGCGCGCGGAGCGCGCCAGGAGCGGCGCCGGAGGCGCCGCCAGGGGCCCCCAGCGCCTATCCGAGGAGTCCGTGCCGCTGGCATCGGCCAGGCGGCGCGATCTGGAGTCCGATTTTCCCGTCCCGACGTCGCTGGTGCCTCGGCGATGCATCGACGACGATGCGCGATCCTCCGACCCCATTCGGGCGGAAGGGGAGGAGAGACTCGCCACGAAGGAAAGGGTTCCTGCAGGGCACAGGTCCTACAGTCAAGGCGCTGAAGTAAGGACCGCTTCTGGTTCGGAAGGGGCTCGCTGCATCTCAGGTCATATAGTGGCTGGTCCTTCAGCCCTCCTCGTGCACCTGGGCGCTTCTGTTGCCCGAAAAAGGGGCCTCGTTCCCGAGTTAGCGTTCCTTCGATTGTAATTCGAGGTTTTACCCTCGACGCGTCAGTGGCCAAGGCCTCTTGGCAGCCGCGAGGCGTTTTGCCGAGGGCGACACACTCGTTCCTTCGTGCCTACTTCTTTGTTCCTCCGGCGCGCCAGTCGCGCGCCGCTTCTCACAAGTGCAGAGCGACTGCGGCGCGCAACACGCGCGTCAGTAGGCGATGGTTACTTGTTCGTCTTTGTTGGCGCTCCTGCTTTACATCCCGTGTTCTCGGCACTCGCCTTGTTTGGGAAATTCGGAATACAGACCAGGGCTGCTGCCTTCAAGCCGCCACCTCTGCGGGCTCCCGGGGCCATCCACGGGCCTCAGGGCCGTGACAACAACAAACCCGGGATCATAGCGACCGGGCCTGGGGGGAGGGCCCCTCTGGGCTCCCAGGGCCTACCTCTCTCTCACGCGGCGCCCTCGTTTTGCCCAGGAGGGGGGAATCTGTGGCCCTTCGGAGGCAACGCCTGGGAGGTCAAAGTCTGACTTTGCCCTGGTCCGAAATCCGGCTTCATCCGGCTTCGTCCCGTTTTATCCGATGCAATCCCGCTTGATTCGCGGCCGAATCCAGCGTATCACCCCCCCAATGAGGCATCATCCTGTTGAACCCTTCCGACGAAGACCTCCCAGCAGTTGCCTCCTGGAAGTGTTTGGCGCACGCAGCGTGTGCGAGTCCATGCCGGAACCGCGTGCCCTGGCCAGTTGCGCTGCCGGTGTATACTCGAGCCACTCGCGGGAGGCAGGGACCTCATCCCCACGTCTGCATACTCATCTTCCTCATCCTTCTCACACGAGCACACGTCCTCCTGCTCAGCCACATGCCCCTCCAGAGGAGGAGGAGGAGGAGGAGGAGGTGGAGGAGGAAGACAAGGACGACGACGACGACGAGGATAACAGATAGCAGGATAAGCACGACGTCAAGGAGGAGGATGAGGAGGAGGAGGAGGCGGAGGAGCGAGAGGAGGACATGGAGGAGAAGCAGCAGCAGCAGCAGCAGGAGGAGGAGGAGGAGGAGGTTGAAGCAAGGTAAGCGATAATAGCAAGGGCAATAAGCAGCAGCGGGAGGAGGATCATGAGGAGGAGCGGAGATTCAACTCCTAACGCTTGACCTCGAACCACGAAGTTCTGGGCATGGGGACAATGTTGTGTCGTCCTCATTCCTTACCACACCTCCTCCCTCGTTTACCTCCTCCCGCCTCCGCCGCCTTCCTCCCTCAACCTACTCCCCCTTCCTCCCCTGACTCCTGTCCCACCTTCTCTCCTCCTCATCTCCATCCTTTCGCCTCCCCCTCGTCGTCGTGGTCGTCGTCATGGCCGTCGTCTTCTCATGGTCGTCGTGGTCACGTTCGTCGGCGGTGGCTGCGTCGGCGTCGGCGGCGTCGACGTGGTCGTCGCCGTTTTAGTATGCCAGCCTCTCCAAGTGAGGTGCACGGCGAACCCAGAGGCCGTCCCGCTGACCCGGACCCCGCACGGTGCCTGTGTTTGTATCCCCAGCCCGCGCGTCCTGCGGCCAGCACTTCCTTTTCGCAGGCACTCAGAGAGTGCGCATGTCGTCTTATTGCTGTTCGAGACAATCGCAGAGCTCTCCACACCCGTCGAGGCATCGAGGCAGTGAAGAAATGGAGACATATCCTGGAGGTGTACGTCTGAGTTGAGTTGCCGCCTTCATCGTGTCCCCCAAACCGTCGACCCCTGAGCCCAGGAGCGCGTTCTGGCCACGACGGGCGCCCCAGAAGGTCAACGCAGGCTCCCAAATCATTCAGAATTTTGTCCCAGACGTCTGACGACGTGTTTTTCCACATCCGCGCGCCAGATGTCTCCACCACCTCTTCCCGAGGGCAGTTTTTCGTCTCGGATCCGTTTTGGATGCTCCTGGGATCGATAGCGGAACCCAGGCGCCGAATTCGGAGGAAAATCGCCGGGATTGAGAAATCGTATCGTCGCGAATTTGGGATCGTCGTCGTCGTCGTCGCCGTCGTGGCCGTCGGAGCGGGCGGTCGTCGCACTCGCGGAGGTCGACGCCCTCGGGCTTGGCGCGGACGCGCACGGCCTGATCGGCGAGGAGGTGCCGTGGTCGGAGCGGGCGCCGCTGCGTGCCGTGGTGGCCGTGCTGCCCTTCCTGGCGGCGCAGTCGCCGTCGGTGTCGGGCCGTCGCCGTCGTCGTCGTCGTTGTCGCCGTCGTGGTCTATCGTTGCCGTCGCCGTCGCCTTTGTGATCGTCGTCGCCGTCGTGATTGTCGTCGCTGTCGGCGTCGTCGCCGTCGATGCCGCCGTCGTTGCCGTCGCCGTTTTCGTCGCCGTCGCGGTCGTCACCGTCGTCGCCGTGGCCGTTGTCGTGGCCGTGCTGCCCTCCCTGGCGTCGCGGTCGCCGTCGCCGTCGGCATCGTCGCGGTCGCCGTCGCCGTCAAGGTCGCCGTCAAGGTCGTCGTCACCGTCGTCGCTTTGGCCGTAAGAGCCGCTTTGGATGTTTGTCAAACCAGTTGCGGCCTCCAAGGGCGTTCTCGTCGGCCCGGCTGGCTTCCGCTCGAAATGCTGGCCCAGACGCACCCCAGGACATGTCCAGGGATTCCTTTGGAGGTCGTCGGCGTCGTGGTCGTGGTCGTGGCCGTGCTGCCCTTCCAGCGGCATCTCGGGCGGCGACGGCGATCGAGGATCAAGTTTTGAAAGCGTTTGGCTATTTCCCGTATCGTTGTTTTCGCTGCAGTGGTCCTAGCGGACAGTGATGGATTTGGCGAAAGTTTCCCGCTTATTTCAGTGGGCGGACGGGTTCCTGAGCTTCTGGTTTTGAGTTCTGGGTCCATTTCGGTGGGCCGACGTGTTCCTGGGTTCACGGCTCGGATTCCAGAGGCTCCGGGGTTCTCGGGGTCTAGGTCGCGGCCAAGTTCACGAGTTTCTGCAGAGTAAGGATTAGAGAGCAGAGCGAATTCAGAAGGTTGTTCATGAAGTAAGCAGGGTAGCTTGCGCCGACAACGCAGGCTGAATTCGTCAAGCAGCCACCGCGGGCAGGCGTGAAGAACTTGCGATACATCCAGTGATTGTGCGTGTGTGTTGTTCTTAGGTGTAAGTTTCCTTGTCGTCAGGGCTTTCAGGGGACCACGGGGGAAATCCGACGACGGCGTCACGACGATTACTGACCCACGCGTCACCTTTCATTTTGCGTCTACGGGTAATGATGCGAATGATGATGAGATGTTGATCACGATCATGACGATGATGGCAATGATGACCACCAGCGACGACGACGAATTGTTCTCGAACTGGTGTTATCATGCACGAGCCGTGCGCCAGCTAGTGCAGATCAGGAGGAGCAGCGGCGGACCAGCAAGAGGAGATGGAGGATGACCAGTGCAAGCCCGAGACGCATCTACGATGTTTCAATACAGTACACACCCTCCCTCCAAGTTCCCTCTTCATAGGTCCCTACAAGAATTTATCGAAGACGCCTACGGCGAATCACCGCCGCCCCCTGCCTTTTTGGAAACGCCGATGTGGCCGAACGTTGGACTAGAGCTTGGCCAAGCTATCGGACCATGAGTTCCCCGAGTCGGTTTGGAAAGCTTTCGGGGAACACATGGGAGAGAATGATTATGAACAGGAAGAGGAAGAGGAAGAAATAGAGTAGGAGGATGAGGGTTGTTAGGAGTCTCTTGGGGCACCCTTGGGGTCTGTTGGGAGCTTCTTGGGGGCCTCTTCGAGGCCTCTTGGAGGCATCTTGGGGGCCTCCTTGGGCCTCTTGGGGGCCTTTGGGGGCTTCCTGGGGGTCTCTTTGGCCGTCTTAGGGCGTTCCTGGTCCGTCTGACGCCGTCTGGAGCCGTCTTGGGGGCCTCTCTGGGCCGTCTTGGGGCCCTCTTGGGGCGCTTCAGGGCCGTCTTGGAGGCCATGTTGGGCGTCTTGGAGGCCTCTTGGGCCGTCTTGGGGCGCTCTTGGGGCCGTCTTGGGGGGCCCTTGGGCCGTCATAGGGCCTTCTTGGAGGCCTCTTGGGCGATCTTGGGGGCCTCTTGGGCCGTCGGAAGGCCGAAAAGATGAAAACGCAAAAAACCTTCAAAAACCTAAGGAAAACCAATGATTTTGGCCTCTTCGGGCTCTCCTGGAGAACGTCTTGGAGGCCTCGTGGGCCATCTTGGAGGCATCTTGGGGCCATCTTGGCCGTCTTGGAGGGCATCTTGGGCCGTCTTGGAGGCATCTTGGAGCCATCTTACCCGTCTTGGAGGCCATCGTGGCCGTCTTGGAAGCATCTTGGAGGCCATCTTGGGCCATCTTGGCCGTCTTGGAGGCCATCTTGGGCCAAGTTGGGGCAACAAACGCATTGACAGACGGATTTTCGGAAATTTACGGGTGGCCGGCGGGACGGGCCGAAGCCCACTGGGGAGTTCTTTTAGAAAAAGAACCAAAACCAAAACTGAATCATCCAGCACGCCGTGCACCCCTGCAAGCAGGGGGCGGCGGATCGAATGGCATTCGGCCCATCCCGCCACCGTGCCTGGGATGTGTATAAAGCCTGTTGGATGTTCGTTGGGATCTCGTGGGAGGCCTCTCGGGAGCCTCTTTGGAGGCAGTTTGGACGCCTCTTGGGGGCTGTCTTTGAGCCTCTTGGGGCCTCTTTTAGGCCTCTCGGCGGCCTCTTGGGGTCTCTTGGGAACCTCGTGGGGCCTCCCGGGCGCCACTTGTGAGGGCCGCTTGGGGCGGAAGGCTCGGACCTTCGGTTCGTGTTCCCTCTCTTGGGCCCCTTACTGGGCCCTCGTGGGCCGTTGTGGGTGCCTCTTGGGCTGTTTGGGGGCCCTCTTGGAGGCCTCTTGGGCCGTCTTGGGGTTGCATTGAGGGCCTCTAGGGCAGGTGTTCATTTGAGGGGAAGGAATGGAGGAGGAGGAGAAAATGGAGGAGGGTGAGGAGGAGGAGGGTGACAAGTGTAAACCCAAGAGTCATCAACGATGTTGGAGTGAACCCTTCCTCCAAGCTCCCTCAAAATAGATGCCCCCACAACGGTTCACGTTCATTGAGGGAATTGCCTCGTTGGAAGACAACCGTTTGAAGATCTTGAAGCATGCCAAAACATTATTCTTGGGATTCCAACGCCACGGATCAACCTGACTGTTGCGTTTCGACTATCCGGAATCGTGCCAGCACGCCTTTCCAAGGATTTAAACACAGAGAACCACCGTAATTGTTGCACCCGCATAATCCGGATTCTTTCCAGAACATCATTCCTCGTACGTTGTTGATGGGAAGTTGTGAAACTCTTGCAAAGGAGCCGCCCTCAATCCGCGAAACTCTTGCAAATCTTCAAAACGCATGTGCACCGCGCTAAGGCGAGAGCCACATATTGACAACGGCCCGCCTTCAATCCGTGAAACTCTTGCAAATGTTGAAAAAGGAATTCTAGACGCTTCGCGTATCCCCACCAGCCCACGTGCGTATGAGTGGCGCTGAGTCACTTTGGTGGTGCACTCCCAAGCGACCACGTGTTTCTATCGTGTGGCTTCGTGCACTCTGCTGTGCTCTGACCAGATCGCTGGTCCATGGGCTCAGGCGCATCTCAGTTGTGGAAGGTTCCCCCGCTGGCGACTTTGGTTCCACTCCCTGGATGCGTGCTCTGACGTCGCGACGGTTCGCTGGCGCCGTCAGAGATTTTCCCCGCTGGACTGCGTCACCAGTCAGTCTGTCCCTACCCGTCAGACTCCTTGGATAGACGTCCCGCTCGGAATCGTTCCCCACCCGTTCGTTCTCGTTCTGTCGGGAACGCTTTGCGCGCCATTTTGGCTGCGCTCGGCTTTCCTCGGTGGCTGTACTCAGACTCCCTGGATGTGCCGTTGCATGGTTCTTTCAGGGGCTGCCCTGCAGACTCCCTGGATCTGCACGCTCTTGGCTCAGACGCCCTGGGTCGCTGCTGCTTGCCGCCTGACCGCGGCCCCGCGCGCGCCCGCCCCCTTGTCGCGGCCGCAGCCCGACCGTGACCGCCCGCCGCTGGCGCTTCCGCCTGCGGCTGTATAAAAAAGTATCCCCACCAGCCCGTCCAGAAACGACGCCCAGGCGAGTAGAGGGTCGTCCTGAGGGGCTTTTCGGCGTCTTGGGTGCCTCGGGGGGGCCTCTGTGGGCCGTTCGGGATCCTTTTTGGGGCCTCCTGGGGGCCTCTTGGGGCCTCTTGGGGCCATCTTGGGGCCTTTGGGGGCCTCCTGGGCGCTTCTTGGGGCCTCCTGGGCGCTTCTTGGGTGCCTCTGGGGGGTCTCTTGGGGCCTCTTGGGGGTCTCTTGGGGGCCTCCTGGGGGCCTCTTGGGGGGCCTCGGAGCCATCTTGGAGGAGATCGATCAACGAAAAGGGGTTCCCTAATGACAGTCCCCCCCTCAGGAGCCACGATCCTCGTGAGGGGTGTCGAATTTTAGCCCTCCCAGGGGTCGATCTTGGGCGCTCCAACGCGCCGCGGAACCCCCTGTCCAGGTCAGTGGGGAGGGGGTAGGGGGAGGGGTAAACCCCTCCCCGAAAGGGGAAGAGGGAGGGGTGGAAGCGGAAACTCGTTAAACCACCGACGCCCAGAGGGCTGGTGGGATTTGCGCCGCGTTCAGGCGAGAGCCACATTTGAAATCCAACCGCCCTCCACCCGTGAAACTTGTGCAACTCTTCAAAATGAATGTACGCCGCGCTAAGGCGAGAGCCACATTTTGAAAGCCATCCGCCCCCAATCCGTGGAACTCTTGCATATGTTTGAACCGACTTTGCGCCGTGCTAAGGCGAGAGCCACAAGTTGAAAACCACCCGCCCTCCATCTTTGAAATTGTTGTCAAGTTTTAAGCTTCAGAGTCGTAATGACTCAGGCGAAACGCCCGGCCCGCCCTAATACTGCCCTCGGGGTGCGGCAGGGAGAAGTTATTGATAAGGATATGGAATGGCGGAGGAGGAGGAGGAGGTGGAGGAGGAGGTGGAGGAGGGAGGAGGAGGAGGAGGAGGCGAAGAAGGAGGAGGAGGAGGAGGAGGAGGAGGAGGAGGAGGAGGACACAGTCGCCGTCGCCCTCGCCTTGCATTTCGTACGATAGGTTCGTGTCGTGTCGACGCGGAAGCGATCCCAGCGCAGGTGTTCAAGGTCGAATGCCGCCAGTGGCCAGGAATCGGCCGACATGAACGATCAACGCCATCGTGAAGCTCGCGATCGCTCAAGGTTGAAAGGCCCTACGCCATATCAGCAACTAGCGCACAAGTCGTCACGACACGAATGCCGCACTTATGAGCGGCCATTGTTTGCGTGTCGCTTTGGGGGAAAACGTCTCGTCTGAAGGGCGGTGGGGAAGCGCGCTCGTTCCAATCCTCGGAGCGCTGGGCGGATAGGCTGCGCCAGCTGCATTGGAGGAGGAGGAGGAGGAGGAGGAGGAGGAGGAGGAGGAAGAGGAGGAGGACGTCGGCTTGCCAGAGGCCAGAGTGCAAAAGTCTGGTCCCCCCCGCCATTATATCCTGCAGGAGAAGTGCCCTGACCCGGGCTGGCGAGGCAAATTGTTCGACAGGCCTTCCTTTACATCAAGCAGAGTACGCAGAGGCAGCGACAAGCCCATGACAAGCTGGCCTCCAAGTAGAGCCCGAGGAAGCCCATGCCAAGACGACCCTCAGATCTATCCTGGGCTGCGCCCTGGCCAGGATGTCGAGCCCGATCCCAGCCGTGGCCACGAGGGCCAGGAGGCCCAAGAGCGCTTCCAAAACACTTAGCCTGGCGAAGAATCCAACCATATGCAGTTGTCAGTACCGCAGCTGCGGGTTTCATCTTCAATGGAACTCCCCATAGGACTACGGAACGTGTGAGGGGTGTGCCGAGATGGGTGCCACTGGGGCATTCGGCGAAGCTCCCTATGGGGACATGAAACACGCGCGGGGCGTGCCGACATGGGTGGCGGAAACGCATGTGCGGGCCGCCACTGGGGCCTCCAGTGGAGCTCCCTATGGGTCCCCGAAACATGATGCTGCTGCGGGGGGGGGGGCCGGGATGGGTGGCGGAGACGCATGTAAGCGCCGCTACTGGGGCCTTCGGTGGAGCTCCCTATGGGGCCACGAAGCGCGTGAGGGGTGTATTGGGATGTGTGGCGGGGACGCATGTGAGCGCCGCCACTGGGGCCTTCGGTGCAGCTCTCTATGGGGCCACGAAACGTGTGAGGGGTGTGCCGAATTGGGTGCGGGTGGTGACGCATGCAGGCGGTGCCACTGGGGCCTTCGGTGGAGCTCCCTATGGGGCCACGAAACCTGTTGTTGTGAGGGGCGTGCTGGGATGGGTGGCGGGTACGCATGTGAGCGCGGCCGCTGGAGCCTTCGGTGGAGCTCCCTATGGGGCCACGAAACGTGTGAGGGGTGTGCCGAATTGGGTGGGTGTGGGTGACGCATGTGAGCGCCGCCACTGGGGCCTCCGGTGGATGGGGCCACGAAACCTGTCGGGGATGTGCCCAAATGGGTGTGCGGGACGCATGCGCCTGTGAGCGCCGCCACTGGGGCCTTCGGTGGAGCTCCCTATGGGGCCACGAAACGTGTGAGGGGTGTGCCGAATTGGGTGTGCGGGACGCATGCGGGCGGCAGCACTGGGGCCTTCGGTGGAGCTCCCTATGGGGCCACGAAACGTGTGAGGGGTGTGCCGAATTGGGTGTGCGGGACGCATGCGGGCGGCAGCACTGGGGCCTTCGGTGGGGCTCCCTATGGGGCCACGAAACGTGTGAGGGGTGTGCCGAATTGGGCGTGCGGGACGCATGCGGGCGGCAGCACTGGGGCCTTCGGTGGGGCTCCCTATGGGGCCACGAAACGTGTGAGGGGTGTGCCGAATTGGGTGTGCGGGACGCATGCGGGCGGCAGCACTGGGGCCTTCGGTGGGGCTATGGGGCCACGAAACCCTATGCGGGGGGCCTTCGGTTCCCTATGGGGCCACGAACGTGTGAGGGGTGTGCCGAATTGGGTGTGCGGGGACGCATGCGGGCGGCAGCACTGGGGCCTTCGGTGGGGCTCCCTATGGGGCCACGAAACGTGTGAGGGGTGTGCCGAATTGGGTGTGCGGGACGCATGCGGGCGGCAGCACTGGGGCCTTCGGTGGGGCTCCCTATGGGGCCACGAAACGTGTGAGGGGTGTGCCGAATTGGGTGTGCGGGACGCATGCGGGCGGCAGCACTGGGGCCTTCGGTGGGGCTCCCTATGGGGCCACGAAACGTGTGAGGGGTGTGCCGAATTGGGTGTGCGGGACGCATGCGGGCGGCAGCACTGGGGCCTTCGGTGGGGCTCCCTATGGGGCCACGAAACGTGTGAGGGGTGTGCCGAATTGGGTGTGCGGGACGCATGCGGGCGGCAGCACTGGGGCCTTCGGTGGGCTATGGGGCCACGAAACGTGTGAGGGGTGTGCCGAATGGGTGTGCGGGACGCATGCGGGCGGCAGCACTGGGGCCTTCGGTGGGGCTCCCTATGGGGCCACGAAACGTGTGAGGGGTGTGCCGAATTGGGTGTGCGGGACGCATGCGGGCGGCAGCACTGGGGCCTTCGGTGGGGCTCCCTATGGGGCCACGAAACGTGTGAGGGGTGTGCCGAATTGGGTGTGCGGGACGCATGCGGGCGGCAGCACTGGGGCCTTCGGTGGGGCTCCCTATGGGGCCACGAAACGTGTGAGGGGTGTGCCGAATTGGGTGTGCGGGACGCATGCGGGCGGCAGCACTGGGGCCTTCGGTGGGGCTCCCTATGGGGCCACGAAACGTGTGAGGGGTGTGCCGAATTGGGTGTGCGGGACGCATGCGGGCGGCAGCACTGGGGCCTTCGGCGGAGCTCCCTATGGGGCTACGAAACGCTGTACTGGGCGGGTGAAACGCAAGGAAGAGGGGGAGGAGGGAGGAGGAGGAGGAAGGAGGAAGGAAGGAGACGCGGGGCACCGTCTCTTCAAAACGAGGACCCAACACCACAGGATGGTTGGGAAAAACCTGGATCCTCGATCCCCGAACCACGCGAGCCTCGATCTTCGATCCTCTCTTCAGCCGCCCGTGCGTCGAGGCGGACCGCGAGAAGAACGCGTCCGCGTACGCGCTCGTGCTCGCGCTCCGGCGGGCGGCCGCGTTGCAGCCGGGCGCTGCCCCGGAGCGCAGCGGCGCCGTCTGGCGTCTGACAAGGGCGCAGGGCGCGGAGGGCGAAAAAGAGATCGACATGATTCGTCGGCGAGCGAGGGGGGGAAGTGAGAAGGAGAAGTCCTTCTCAGAAGGCGGCGGAACTTCTCAGAAGCCCTCGCGCCTTCTGAGACGTTTTTGTTTTGTCTTCGGGAAGGCTTGGACAACTTCTCAGAAGGCCGGGGGGACTTGCGAGCCTTCTGAGAAGGCCGTCTCCTTCTCACTTCCCCCCCAGGCTCGCCGTCGATGGTGGGGGATAGGCGCAAGGGGGGACGCATGGACGCCCAATCGCCATTCGTCGCCAATGGGGTCCGACAGCCCCCCACCAAGCCCCGGACCGTCACCTGCGGGCTATCGCCGGTGTATCGCCGATCCCGGGTCGATGTGTCCCCACCCGAGTTGGTCCCCATGGCAAGACGCCGCCGGTTGAAGGAGTCGGGTCCTGGCCCAGAGGGGCGACCCCAGAGGCCAGCGTCATCGAACCACATGTTTCTTTCTCCTGGGGGGGCCTCCGAGGAGGAGTAGGAGGAGTAGTAGGAGGAGGAGGAGGCTCGGAGGAGGAGGGAGGGACCCTCCGCGGGGACCTCCGCGGCGGCCCACGCGGACCTGTTGGGAGCACGCTGTCCGGAGCACAGCACTTTCCCCCGTGGAAGGGGTCGAGAGATTCACCAGAATGGTCGCGAAACGAAAACAGTGCGTTGAAATTTGCGTCGCCCTGGACATGATGTCATCATTCCCCTCCTCCTTCACCTCATTCTCGTCCTGATCCTCCTCATCATCTCCCTCGATTTCCTCCGCCTCCTCGTCTCCCTCGTCGTCCTCGTCCTACTCCTCCTCCTCTCTTCATGTATCTGGGAAATCGTCTCGATAGGAACTGGCGTTTCCAGCTTCCAGTTCAATGTGTCGCACGCGACGGCTAGCTTGCTTGATTTAGTGCTGCGCGTTTACCTACTTGGGCATTCCATCCTGTTTACCCTCCCTTTCTCTTTCTTTCTCACCCCTTCATGTCAGCCAGCATGCTCGCCCAATGATGCACGATTTGGGGCTCGGTCGGCAAGAACGTGTTTTGGGCCGCCAGGGCATGGAGTGGTGTCGGTGGGGAAGAAGCAGGTCGATGGACTGCGAGTGAGCGGAAGACAGCGCCGCACATTCGAGAGGGCCCAGATTTGTGGGGTACGAACCGAGTATGGACGATGAGGGACAGTAATTTCTTGTGGGCTTCCATCGTTTCCAGACCGTCGACGATTTGGATCGAGCTGTTTGGCGCGACACCAGCTCCACGGATCCATTGGGAAAACAGAAGTCAGACTACCAGGTTCATCATTTGGCCCGTGTCTGCGCATTCGCTTGCCACACGTCGATGGACCGGTTGTGAAAAGTTTTGGGAGATCACGAGCAATCACTTTATTTCCCTCCTATGGGCCCTATGAGCCCCTCACGCCCTTCGCATCAGGACTACGAGCCCCGTGAGCCCTGCGATTTGGCACTTAGGCTAGGGGTCTCACGCAATGATCGGCGGCCCTGGCGGATCTTCAGGCTCAAGGGCTCCAGCACACCCGCCCAGCGTCCACAGGGATAGCGCCCCCGATATTTCTAACGGCGTCTTGGTGGCGGTACCGTCTTCTCGTCGCCGTCAGGGCTCGAAATCCGACAGCAGCACCCAGACGCATCTGGAGCTGAGCCCCTGGGAAGCGGGGTGGTGCGGGGACTTCTCAGGTAGGGCCAAGGCCCTTGAGGTCTCAGAGCGGCATGGCATGGCCCAAAGCGGGGAAATCTCACTTCGTGGTTCCGGTCCTGGCTTTCCGCCCTGAGGGTTGCGCAGGAGGGCGATGCATGAGGATTGCCCGTGGTCCTCAGACATGTGCGTGACGGAAGTGCTTGTCTTGTGCACGCTGCTCGTGGCACTTTCTGTGTAGTTAAGTACCCACCAGGAGAGTGAACGCGATGCATTTTGCGACCTCGGTTCTTTCGGCTCGAGTTATTTACAGCAAGCCAGTGTGCGACGCAAGTTGTTTGGGATTTTCCAGGCATCATGGCTGCGGATTTCACTCTGGAGGAGGCTGGACTTGAGGGGGCGCTTCGTTATTTGAGGATGTGGTTCAGCAGAGCAGCACATTGTCAGATATGGCGATTGCCCCTCTTCCATACTCACCCAATTCCTCGGCATCCTCCTCGTCCTCGCTACTCACTGTCCTCCTTCCTCCTCCCGGGCCCGTGGTCGAAGAGCCCCATACCGAATTCCGTGTTCTCAGCACGGCGACGGTGATTGCATGCGTGCATGCGCTTGCAAACGGCAAACGCAGTGGCGACAGCATGATGAATTGAAGTCGTTGCTCTATCAGCCGGACGAGTTCCTTCTTGCTCGGCCTGGCTCAAGCCAGGGTCCCAGCCAGGTTTAGTGTTTGCTTTAGTTTCGGCGTTCTGCGATGTAGGGACGTTGAAGAGGAGGAGAAGGAGGAGGATGGAGGGAGAGGGAGCAGGGAGGAGAAGGAGGGAGGAGTGGGACTGAAGAATATGGAGCAAGGAGGAGGAGGAGGAGGAGGAGGAGGAGGAGAAGGATCATGATGAGCTCTGCTCACGCCTCCCTCCCCCACCCTCGCGGCGGCGGCGGAGAGTCAGTCGTAGCGAAGCCGGGGCATCCGGAGGTGCAGAAGCACAACACCCCAGAGGATGCTTGGGTGATCGTGGACGGCACCATCTACGATGCGGGGAGGGAGCCTTCTTCCATCATTCAGATTCGAGCTTCGAGATCGAGGGATCTCCTCCCTGCTCCTCCCCCGTTCTCCTCACTCCTTCTCTCCCCCCGCCTCAGCCTCCCCCCCCTCACCATGACTCCCTCCTCATCTCTTCCCCTTCTCGTTCTCCCGTTCCTTTTTCGCCCAGGTCTCCTCCTCCTTGTCCTCCGCCTCCTCTTTCGCCAAGTCGTCGGAGGCGGGGCCGCGCGCGAGCGCCTCCCGTTTGCGAGGTGGAAGCGCGCTCCGTTCCCCAAATCTCAAGTTGTGCCACCATTGGTTCGTATGTTGTGGGCGAGAGAGGGAGAGAGAGAGAGAGAGAGAGAGTAGACGGGGCCCTCTGACTCGCTCGACCTGGCTGACTTGACTCGGATGCAACTCTTGGGAGGTCAAAGCCTGACTTTGCCCTGGTCCGAAATCAGGTTGAATCCCGCTTGATCCCGTTTTCTCCGGCCTAGTCCCGCTCAATCCGCGGCCTACTCTGGCGCAGCAGCCCCCCAATGGGGCTTAGCACCCCTCCCTAATCCTTCCGACGGAGACCTCCCAGTAGTTGCCTCCAGATCTTGACTCCGCCTCCTCCGGCGCCAGCTTGCCCGAGCGGGGCGCTCGGGCCGCCGCCGCGGCATGCCACCCTGTCAGCACGGGGTAGGCGGCCACCGCACCCCGCCCCGTGGGGGGCGCCCGCCCCCCCGTGACAGAAACAGTGATACAAAAACAAAGAACATTGTCACAAAAACGAAAGCATGGTTTCAACAACATTGTTACAACAACATTGTTACAAAAACATAGAGATGCCCGCCCGTTGTAGAAAACGGTTCCTTGCATGGACAAGGAAGTGGCAGGAGGCAGAAAAGTGGTGGAGTGGGAGCCCATGCCAAGAAATACCATACGCTTTGCCAGGGTGCCCTTGTTTCTTTGGTTTGTGTTTGGATTGACTGCTGGCAGTGGTCGCAGAGAAACCGCAGGTGGCAGCGTACCCATCAGTGTCTTGACGCTGAGACGCTTTGCGTGAGCCACCAATAAACCACCTGGCCCAGGATAGCCTGAGTTTCTCCGCTGGCAGCCGCGAAGCAAGACACGCAACCCTGACCCAATAAATTTCGGCGTTTCTTTTGGGTTGTGTTTCTTGCCATGGGTTTCTTGAGGACTGGTTTTGACTGTACGAGGAGGAGGGGCACCACGACAGTGAGGGGGGCGAGGAGGAGCATGGAGGTGGGGAGACAGGCGCGGCCGAGCGTAGACGCATGCCGAATACATTCATCTAGGCCATTCTCAGATTCTTCCTCCGTGCCTAGGGCTGACCGCCTCCCTCGCTTGTGGTGCTGCGGATCATCGTGTGTGGAGTCTGCGAGGCGGGCCTTGAGGGTCGCGCCGTGCTTCGTTTTTGGCATGTGGCGCTGTCGAGCGATGTGGCACGTGGCACGTGCTCGTGTTTGGCGGCGATGTCATCGTTGCTATGATGCTGATCATCCTCCCCCGCCTCCTCGCACCAGGGTCACGAAGACAACTACGAAGGGCCGATTCCTGAGGCGCGAGGGTGACACGAGCTCAGGCCCGCGTCGCCCACAACCGCCACCATCGAAACAGCATTCGAGGCCAGCGCCGTCAGCCGGCACAGCACAAATTTGCCGGGATTCCGACGGCGATAGCGGTGGCAAGCGTTGCGCTTGCACTTCAGATCCTCGTGCATCCCCTCTCCCTGTCCATCCCACGGGAACAGGGAAAGGCACTGCGCAACATAAGGTCGGACCGAGGTATAAGGTCGAGGTGGGTTCGGGGAGAACGCTCTCATGTTCTTCATGTTTGTTGGGTGTTCTTGTGCATCCTGGGGGAGGGTACCCTCGAACGCTCTTCAGCTTGGCCCGCGGAGGAACTCATGTTCTTGAAGGATGCTCTTCTTTCCTATATCAAGCCGTGATCAGGGGGTCCACGCAGATCTCATCGGCACTCCGCCCCACACTTGGGCGTGCGCGTAATTGGGGTGGCGATACAGGGGGGGGGGGGGGTAGCGAGGGATGCCGCAAAAAGGGGCCCTCTGGGTCCCCCAAAGTGCACCCTCCTCCCCCCCAGTTATCGCCCCCCCATGAAGCTGCGCCCACTACGCAGATCTCATCGGCCTGCTCTGGGATCTCCGCCCCACCCCCCTGGCGACGCGGCGCCGCCCTCGCGGCGCGCCCCCGCACGCCAAATGAAACTGTGCGCCCAGAGGCCGCCCCGCAAGGGAGGTCGCACAGAGACCTCTGGAGTGGCTGTGTGTATATATGGCGTGTGGCGTGTTTTTGCTGTGGTTGCCCCTCCTCCTCCTCCTCCTCCTCCTCCTCCTCTTCCTCCTCATTATCCTCCTCATTATCCTCCCCCTCCTACTCCTTCTTCCAGTGTCGACCCAGGATCTCTACCCTGGGACGAGCTCTGACGAGCAATTCTCAGGAGGAGGCCGCAGGGGCGACGGGGTGCCTCACGGAGGGGGCTCCAGAGATGGCGGAAGGCATGCAGGCGCCCCATAGTACCCCTCCTCCTCCTCCTCCTCCTCCTCCTCCTCCTCCTCCTCCTTGTCCTCCTGCTTCTCCACCCTTCCTAGAGGGGTGGGTGGGGGGCAGGTCATCTCCACACCTGCTTCTCTTTTTCATCCTTCTCCTCCCCGCGCTCGACCACATCCTCATCATCCTCGCGCATGTCTCTAGTTAGTCCCATTGTTCGTCATCGTCCTTCTTGTCCTCCTCCTCCTTCTCCTCCGTCCTTTTCATATTCGTCATCCCCGCGTGCGCCTTCCCTCGCGCGCAGGGGCGCGCACGCGGGGAGCGCAGAGAAGCAGCGAGGGAGTCTGAGAGAAGGGCTGGTACGCACGGGTCGGGAGGGTGGAGGGTGGAGCAAAAGGAGAGATGGAGGGAGGGGGGAGGGGAGGAGCAGGAGGAGGGAGAGTAGAGGAGAGGGTGGAGGCGGAGAAGGGTAGGGACGGGCGAAGGAGAGAGGGTGGATGAGTAGCAGGAGGACGGAGTGATGGTGTGGCAGGGGAGGGGAGGGGAGGAGATGGGAGGGGGAGGGGGGGGATGAGGAGAAGCAAGATAGAGAGAGGGGGGGCGGCGGGAGAGGAGCAAGAGGGGAGAAGAGAGGAGCTCGTCGCCTTCCTCCCCCCGCCCTCCCCCCCTCCTCTCGCGAGGGCGCGTGGGGAGAGTGCAGGTCACCAAGTTCGCGAAGATGCACCCCGGCGGCAGGCGCGTCGTCGTCGGCGGCAAAGGAGAAGGAGGAGGAGGAGGAGGAGGAGGAGGTGGTGGACGACGAAGAGGAGGATCAGGAGGAGGAGGAGGAGCGGGAGGAGTAGGATGATGATGATGATGATGATGATGATGATGATGATGATGATGATGATGATGATGCTGATGCTGATGCTGATGCTGATGATGATGATGCTGATGATGATGATGATGATGATGATGATGATGATGAGGAGGAGGAGGAGGAGGAGGAGGAGGAGGAGGCTAAGTTTGAGAAACTGGATGAGGAGGGGGAGGGTCAGTGTGACCCAAGACCGATCAACAATGTTGCAGTAAACCCTCCTGACATGTCTCCACTTCATAGGTGTCTGCACGAATATGTTCTCAATGCGGGACGTGCCTCATATTTTTGGGCAACGCAGCTGGGGGAAAGGGGAAGCAGCTGGGGGAAGAGAGGTGAGCATGTTTGTGCGTGCGCGGTAATGATTGGTTTTCTGGCGATTTCGGCGCACCCTACACTTTCATATGCTCAAGCTCGTCCTGCAGGAGCCTGGACGGATCGCCCCTTCCCCCGCGGGCAGTGCATGGAGCACGCACTGCAGCTGGGGTGCGCGGCGGTGGGCTCGCTGCTGGCGGCGTCGGTGCAGCGCCCGACGTGCGTGTGTGACTGCACGCCACCTGCGCCCGACGAGGGCGTGCTAGAGCTGTTGGGCCAGCAGCTCCAGCGGTGCGGGCCTGATCGGCTCACCGCCTGTCCGCCTGCCGTGCCCTGCCCGCTGGCGCCCGCGTGCCCTGGGGTGCTGGGCCCCTTGCTGGCCGCCTTCGGCGGCGGCGCGCTGGCGGGCGGCCTGTCGGTGACGCTCGCCGTGGTGGTCCTAGGCGGCGGGGTTCGGCAGCGGGCTCGCGAGGCGACCTCGCTTCCTGTGCCCGCGGCGCGGCTGTCCATCGGGCCGCCGCCAGCGGGGGAGGCGCCAGCGGCGGCGCTGTCGCTGGAGGAGGAGGCCCGTGCGCAGGTCGAGAGGGTTCGAGCTCGGCGCGATGGCCCACCCGCTCACGGATCTAGGTCTGCGGGAGGGGGGCTTCGTGGTGGTAGAGTTCAATTGCCGACCCCGAGACCTGCGCCACGAGCGCTGCTTGGTCTACGTACCCGACGGGAGGACAGAGCAGGTGGGGGTCTTGACGCCAGACGGCGACTGTTACCTGGAGGAGTGGGACTTGCCCGACGTGGCTTCGTGGACGCGGCTGCCCAAAGGTGTGCAGGGCGGCGACCTGGGGAACCCGCGCCTGCGCATTGGATCATCGCATGGAAGGCGGCTGCATTGGCATTAGATTTCAGTAAGAACGCAATCTGTTTTGCCGCCAAAGTTGGGCGGGCTGCGGCCTTGAAATTCAGGTTGTCCCGAAGGAACATGGTGTTGACCTCATCAGGCTGGCCCCCGCTGTCGGTCGTCCGCCGTGACTTGGTGTCGGGCGCGCCGGGGCCAGCCTGCATGCCAGGCTCATCTCTCTTCCCTTCCTCGACCTTGCCGCGCGCCTCCGCCGCCTTGGCCATAGCTGCATCCAAGCACTTCTGAAGATCTGTCATGATGTATAGCCAGACAACGTCGGGCACCAATAAGGATAATATTCGAAATTCGCTTGAACCCAAGGCCATTACAGATCCAAGATACACACTGTGACATCACTCCACAGGAAGAGGAGTGTGGTAAATCTACGGATGGAACTTAGCTGGGAGATCACGTGCTGCTGCTAGCGTACGATGCCACCGATTCGTGTTGAGAGGTAGTCCGAAAGCTTCTCGGCGTTCTCTACACCCTCGCTCGTGCCGTGGCCGTCCGTGAGGATTTGCCTAGAACGTACCACAGGGTGCGCACGGATGGTCACGTATCTGTGTGCGGGTTAGCATACGTGTGCGAGTTAACCACATATCGTATGGCATGCGGGGACATATTTTCCTATGACATATCTGTTCCAACTTCCCCTTTTCGTCGTTCGTGTACTCCTTCCTGCAATACGGACATATATGCATAGGTATGTTATTAGGCTGCGTGGGAGGAGGGAGACCACCAATCTGAGTACGTGAGACCAAATTTTGAAACCAACCAGGGAGGCCCGACTCCGTCATGATGTTTGACCAGGCTGCTAGACATGTGCGACATCGTGAACACGCTGTGCGCCCTAGATCCTGCCACTTCCCACCCATGCAATATCCGTACTCCCTGCAACGATAACATGAACGACAATTCCGACACTTGTTGGCCTCACACTCTTGCTCCAAGATATGAGCGTCGATAGGCCAGCGGGCCATCAAGTTCGCGAGCTGCAACTTGCCCGCGTCTGACTCCCACCCTCCAGGTGGTTCCGAGATCGCCACCTGTACGCGGCGTCCTCCTGCTTTCGGCTTGGCACGAGCAACACGCGGAGCAGGATGAGGAGCGGGAGGTGGTGGGGGTACTTCTGAGGGTTCTTGAGGTGCTGGAGCAGGGACGGAAGAAGAGGCGGCTGCTGCGGGGCGGCGCAGCGTCGCAGCTGGGGCCCCCGAGGAACAAGGTGGGGCCGCTGCCGCTGCGCTGGAACTCATGCTGGCTGACTGCGCTGGCTGCACATGCTGAGCGGGCTGGGTGGGCACAGGTGGGCGGGGCTGGTTTCCTCGAAGACGTCGATACTGTTGACGAGGGAAGCCCACTGGTACCTCAAAGAACCCATCGGATTCCCGAGACGCCTCTGGAAGGTTGTGTAGTCCCCCAAGTTCTTGTTGGGCCTGCTCACGAATGTTTGCCTTCCGAACTCGGGCCGCGGGGTCCTGGCACTCACAATGTCGGATATGTTTTTTGTAGCCCTTCCAAGGCCAGTAGTGCCCACAAAACTTGCGTAAACATAGACCCGACGATATAATAGTCATCTTACCTTGCTCGAGGTTCAGGCGAAGGGCACGACTTTCTTGTTGTTCGCGGGGGCCTCCGACTGCATGACGAACTTTCCAAAGATCCCTATTGGCCTCCAATTGTCGTTCGTGCCTCCATTTACGCATAAGTTTGGCCCACAAGAGCCGATTTTGTACCATGTTTGCCCACTCTTCACGCCAACGCCCCCTAGGAATATCATAATATTGCATGATAGCTTCAACTTTCTGCCACAATACTGTACGGATCCTAAGCCTCGCGCCACCAAAGGTCTTGACCGAGGTAAACTCTTCCTCGGGATAAAGCCATAAAATCTGCCTGTCCAATCGTTCAGGAGGGAGCCTCATCTGGTGGCCCAAAAACTGTAACCTCCTCCAGTCAATATAAATATCAACCAAATCTAGATTCAACTGCCGCCTGAGATCCTGCATCGTCTTCCGGTCATCGTGCATACATGAGCGGCGCTGGTGTAAAAGTCCCAGCATGCACTTGTGAACAAATCCTTGGTAGCGTCGAAGCTCAAGCTTAGTAAAAGTACGGCTCTCACAGCTAAAGAGCAAGCATGCCAGGACTGTGGCCTTGAAGAGCATCCCCAAATGCTTGACGTCAAGTTTCAAACGACTGCCCGCCACGCGTTTGGGCAGCAGTTCTGAGGCTTTGGTGTAATGGGTGGTGCACGGGCAGTCGATTTGGCTACGAGCGTCAGTGCCGCTTTGGCTGTGGTAGGGGCCCGGACTCGATCCGCCATTTCGCATCCTGCAGCGTGGTTCGAGGGCTTCTTGGGGAACCCCCTCGGGAACGGCAACAAGCACTTGAGCGCTTCCTCCGGATCGGGGGGCCCAGGATGACAGACGAGGAGCTGGTGTTTTGGGCTGTTTCCATTTATGGATTGTACCGTAAGTACGCACAATATGGCGAGGCACCGGGACATCCCCGACCGAGACTTTCACGGCGCCTTCCGAGAGTTCTGTCACGAAGGCAGACGGGGGCATGGCGACAGCGGCACGACAGCGTGAACTTTGGGGTACCGTTCCTATTATTTGTTGTATTGTAGTTCTGCCCCTTGTTGACTGTACATTAGTCCACCATGCATGTTCCTGCTGCCTGCATGTCCTCGGCGGGGGAGGTCCTTCCCCCGTCGGGGTACCCGCTTGTTCTCTGTCTCCTTCCCGCCCGCTCCCTCGCCTCTGTCCGATCATGTCCGATCACAGCGGTGAGCCGTGGCCCACAGGGCGCCCATTCGGGCACATGCGATTGGCTGGGACGGGGCCCAGTATGCGTCGCATGATCAAGGTTCGGTTTCTGCCGGCCTATTCTTTCTTCTCCCTCTCCTCCTCGTCCTCCTTTCCCGTCATCTCTTGACCCATGTTGTGTTGGATTTATTGGTTCGGCCGACTAGGCCATTCAGTAAGGGGAGTGCCGCACAACGCTTCGGCAGGCCATGGGAAGATACGCTGCAAAGCAAGTGCGTATCATTGGCAAGCTTGATTCTCTCCCTCCTCTTCTGCTTCCTCTCCTCCTTGACCAATCGCCCGGGCAATAATTGTCACAGGTAGCTCCTTTGTGTTGGCGTCTGTTTGTTCAGGGGGGGCAGGATTTGTTGCCCCAGCCGGCGCCTACAGTAAGCAGCATCGTAAGTGTGGCGAGGCCCGTACCCGTTTTTCTTTGCCCGAATATCTGGCCTTGCGACGTACTGAGTCGTACATGAGTCGTGTATATTATCGCTGTCCGCTCCCACTTCCTGCTCCTATATATATCTATACATATATGTATATAAGAAAACGACTGAGTTGCGAAAAAAACTTCCGCCATGCCATCCCCGCCTTCTGGAGGCGTTTTTCGGACTCCGTGGAATTTTTCCCGTCGCTGCGCAGCCAGGCCCCCAGGAACCTCGCAGCCTCTGGGAACTCAGGAGTCAACTCAGGGCCTGCACACAGTCGTTCGTACTTGTCTGGATGTACTGTCTCGGACCAGGATCCCAATACTTGCTCCAGGAGTCGTTCCAGCTCAGGACGACGTGACTTACGGGATAGCAGGTTGGTATCGTCGGCGAACATCAATTCGAATAACCTGATCACGGGGTGCTCTTCCAGGACC